TTGAATGTGAGAGAATCACGTGACACCTCCAACCGCAAGACTCCGCTACATTCGCCATAAACAAATGGTAACTTCTGAATCATGAAAATGTGATGAATTGAGGGGGATGGGGGGGATGAATGGTTATGATTTGTATGCACAGTCGCATAGTGGGTTCGATTGCGTAGTAGGTACATGTTTTAACTACAATGCTCCGCCACCCAACAGAGACAATGAAATCAAGTTGTCACGTGGTAAAATATGCCAGTTGATTTAGTTTCACTTTGTTGAAAAGCAAGATGTATTTTACAATTTCGTAGACATTCTGCTGGAAATTACAACCAACATCATCATTTCGATTTAAAGCTTTCGTGACTGCAGGGATTCACATTCTTAGTTCTTTCGGTAAAGTCATGTAGAAGGGAAATAATAAAATAATACAAATTAAACATAATTAAATGAAATTCTCACGACGTTTCTGCCACAACGCAAGCAGCCGTCCTCAGGTGACAGCTCTGTTTCTCCCAGCGCTGTCTTTCCGACAGCTCTGTTTCTTCACCTGAGGACGGCTGCTTGCGTTGTGGCCAAAACGTCGTGAGAATTTCATTTATTATGTTTTATGTTTATTATTTTATTATTTGCCTTCTACGTAACTTTACCGAAAGAACCAAGAATACAACATCATCACGTGTTCACGAGACCTCCGCCTTCGCGTGGATATGAATGTAAATGCAGTGGCACCAGCCGTGTGAGCCGTCTTTCAGCGCAAAACTAGAAAGCGGCGAAACATTCAAGGTTATATTTGAAGTGAGTCGAGTATCCCACTGTGCAGATTTGAGACATTTCACGGAAATGAGGTTTCAGTGTAATGTCATTTCAATTCTCCGGACCCCAATCTCCAATGCGCTTTGTATTAATGTTTTAATTTATGCTGCGTGATTGAACCTGTGCTGTGTGTTGCTCTGGAAAATAGGCTCAGTAGATTTCGATTTAAAGCTGTCGTGACTGCAGGGATTCATCTTCTTGGTTCTTTCGGTAAAGTCACGTAGAATGGAAATAATAAAATAAAAAAAATGTTAAAAATAAAACATAATAAAATCATTCTCACGACGTTTCGGCCACAACGGCTGCTTGCGTTGTGGCCGAAACGTAAAAATAAAAGTAAATGATAAAAAGAATAGAAATAATAATAGAAATAAAAAATTATAATTAAATAATATAAATAATAATAGGAATAAATGTTTATAAATAAATTATTTAGATTTTTTGCCCTATTATTTTAATCATTTATTATTTCTATTTAAAGCTTTCGTGACTGCAGGGATTCATCTTCTTGGTTCTTTGGGTAAAGTCACGTAGAATGGAAATAATAAAATAATAAAATTAAACTTAATAAAATAATAAATAATGTTATTATGTTTATTTTATTATTTAATATAATATATTATTTTATAATGTTTTATTTTATTATTTTATTATTTCCATTCTACGTGACTTTACCGAAAGAACCAAGAAGATGAATAGGCTCAGTAGTTTGCCATCTAAGCGAAACACGTTTACCTATTCACACTTTGCGGTTTGAGCTTATGTGTACATTATGGTAATATTGGAATGCAGTGGTCGGAGCATTTATTAAATAATATTTTCAGTGTTATTATCCCCTTGATGAATACCGATTGTTTGGCTACTGGGATAATGTAAACATTTTAAATGAAGGATATCACAGTGGATCAGGAAAAGGTCATACATACATCACAAATGCATTTACTGTACATGCTCATTTCATTAAATTCCATATATGATACGTAGTTATCCACGTATTTCTTTCTCCACCCTAATTTTACATTTTATAATGTTTCTAGTCGAGGTGGCCAGTCAGCACAGGAGGGAGTCAGAGCACAGAGCTGGCACTGTTAACATCCTGGGTTTAAATCCGAGTTTCAGCCACATTTGTAGAAAACCATGTTTTCAAGTCTATTATGTATATATGTTCTTCTTTCGCTCCGTACGTAGTCAGCCGTGCTAATCTGAGGTGATATTCTTCATATGGATGATGTAGCTGTAGAGCAAAACGTATAATTTATATCTTGATTTAAAGCTTTTGTGACTGCAGAAATGCATACTCTTTGGATCTTTTGTAAAGTCACGTAGATAGAAAAATAATAATAAAAAAATCACGACGTTTCGATCGCAACACAAGCAATCGTCCTCAGGTGAAAAAAGCAACCTGGCAATAAATGATAGCTCAACAAAGTAACTTATCATGTGGAAATGTATAGCAACCAAATACTCTGAACGCATGTTTCTAAATGTGGAGGGATAAACTGGAGGACCCGGAGAAAATCCACGAGACCACGGGGATAACATGCAAATTCTAAATATATAGGCGTCAGGCTTAGGATCGATCCACCACCTCCTGTATACCAGGCAAGGTAGTTAACATCTCGCCACTGCAGCGACGGTTAAGCCAGATACTTGCATCAGGAATAGCGCGATGTTCACGCAATTAACACAATTATCAGTTTGATGGTCTCAGCCCGGCCAACAATGACTATGCCAAGCAAAACCAAAAAAACGTTATTGGTTTGAATGTCGTGTAACAAATATTTGCAGGTGTTAGGGTTTGTGAGCTTACTGCTAGCCTGGCCCGGAGCCACAGGAAATCACTGGTCAGAGCAGATGTAATTTCAGAGCACGTTCCGGCGTGTCTTCTGCGAAATGCACGTGCCAAAATGCCATGCGTACGAGGAGAATGGTTTGCCAAGACCTCCTCGCACTCCCCCACGTGCTCATGCCTTCAGGTACAGAGTATCTTAATTCGGCCAGCGGAAACCCAGCTCAGGATTTTGCGGGCAGGTTCAAGAATCCCACGGTGGCATTCCAAGCTCGTTCTTAGCTCTACTCGCTTTGACCTGTTTCACCTCGTGAACTGAGGGACGTCAGAATTAGCGGTCCACCATGAAATGTGGATTGTGGAATCAGGCCAGATTTATACAAACACGGCCACAGTTCAGCCAAAAATAGGGGAAATAATGGCCCAAAACACGACGATTTGAACCCATGATCTCTGTGTTGAGAGAAATGTTATCATATCAACTGCTCAATTATTGTACTGCAGCCTATTCCTAGAATTACAACCTATTCATTCAATTTCTTACAGCCTGATGTGAATCCAACAATCAACAGTATGGATAAGTTGGATATTATGGATATTTTATACAATTATCTTTGTTGTGAGAGTCATAAGGACCGTGCGTATGTGTATAACATGGCATGTATTGATTTATTTAATATTACTGTCTTGCAATTAAAGTGAGAAGTGGCAATAATTTGTTTCATTGAGCGGTTATCTTATCACCTCCACCCCCAGATCCACTGATTATATAATCCGGTGCACCACACAAGCCTCAGCAAATAACGTAATCAGCGCGAGTTTAGTGAAGGTGAACATCTTTATCCTTAGCTTCACGCCGGGTTCCTGCCACAACTCTCCGTGACGGCTGCCTCTGCCTTTGCCTGATTTATTGTGGCAGGCCATCAAAAAAATACTACACCGAGTTTGTTTCTGAGAAATATATGTCGCTTGAGCTATTGTTGAAGAACCCAGCCTTTTAATCTCCTCCGAGATAGCTGGCTCACTGTTTTAAGCCAAAGTAAGCTCGGGGTGAATCGGCCTGATGGGTAATCCTTCTGCTTTTTGAAGGAACTTTTTAAAAAGTTGTCCTCCCCTTTCTTTTTTAAACAAAAAAATGTATCTGCATTGTGTAGATAGTGCATAAACTTTGGCTTATGACGGGTTTCCGAAAGTGCATTTCCATGAGTGTTGAAACTACAGGAGACGAGAATATGAAAATGCAGTATTGTGCAGGGATTGTGTTTTTTAAAAAATGCACTCATCTAAAGGTAATCTCCGAATTTGTTCAGCTAAACCGTGCATGGTTGAGTGTTGCGGTCTCCTTTTCATGTATGGGGTTGACAAGAGATCAAAACTTGAGTTTTTTGGGGTACAGAATAGCATATGGCCCACTTGCACCCTTGAGCAGAATGATTTGCAATGTGTCCTCGTTTTAACCTGTTTGAAAGTTTTGACACAAGCGCTCGAAGCGGGCAAATTTTAATGCCAGCACGACAAGCGAGGAGGAATGGGTGAGGGCCGGAAACCCGAATGGTCTCTCTTCCGGTCTCAACTGCTTGGAGGGGTTATTTAAGCAGTTAATAAAGCTATGCTGATCTGACCTAGGTGAGAGCCAGACCAGATAGAGTCACCATCTGCCACTAATGTGCACAGCCAGGAATTATGCACAAAGACAAATGAGGCAAAGGCGATGAATGCCAATTAACCAAAAAGAACATACCGTGAAAATTTTACAGGACCCTCTTGAAAACGAAAATTGTGACTTGGTGAGACCTCCTGGGTAAACAAGCATAATAATAATAATAATAGGGTGAAGTGCTGTTAGCAAGCTCATGCTGAAGTTTAGCATGACACACAGAGTGCTGATTTAGCAACCAACACACCTGGCCACGTTTGTTTCCACTCATATGACGTTCAGGCAACACAAATGAGTCCAAGTGCAGGCTCAGTTCACTGGATTGTGTAACACGTGAGCCACTGGGACAAGTGCTGCTAGCAAGCATCGATGAAGGCCAGCACAGCACATGAGAGGGTGGGAGGAACAACACTATGCCCTACCGCCTGAGTCGACCTAAGGGAGGCCCAGGACTGGTTCAGATGTTTGACACACTAGTGTTGGCCGTGAGCGGGTATCGAACTTGGGTGACTGGGTTCAGTGCACGGTGCATTAACCACAACATCAACGCGCCCCATCTGCACAAGACAAAGACACACGAACGATCGCACTCAAGAGCGGGCAATTTTTTATTATCAGCCTCTCGCACAGTCTTGCTTAAAAACGTTCTTGTAATTGGATGGCAACCCTGTGCATACGCAGTTCTGCGAATTTAGGTGAAAACATGAGTGATTGATGACGCTTGCTGTGCATTACGAATGCATTTTGCAGGGTGTCCACCTCATCATTGTCAGGGAGCAGCAGTGCCTGTGCATTGGAGCTGTCCGTCGGTGGCATTGCGGTGTATCAGACAAGAGAAGTGAGGTCACTTGTGCATCCTAAGGTCAGTGCATGTTAAAATCGCGTCCCATGTAAACATCTCTGCCTTCCCGCTCACAGTCCCTACGCGAGTAGGGCAGGGAGACCTCGTTTTTTCCGCTTCCCTCAATTCGTGAGCTTCTGTCCGCATAATTTCTGTGCCCTCCTCCCTTGTTACGTTTTGTGCTCTGTATTAATAATAATAGTTCAATTTATAACGCGCGTAAATTTGCGGACGTAATGGCCGCAACTCAGAGGCGCGGAGCCAAGCTCAGAGTCGCTCGAAAGCATGATTGTAGAGGTGAGTTTTTAAGTCTCTCTTGAAGGAGGCGATTGAGGTGATGCTGCGAATGTGCAGAGGGATATCGTCGAATAAAAAAAAGACATGATGATAAAAAAACATTGTTTCCTATGGAATATTCCATTCCTTATTTTTTAAATGCTGTAGTATGAAATAAACCTTGCATTGAATATTTGTTTTCAAGTTTAATTCCAAATTTCTGTGTGATGTATGTATGTAGAACTTATTTCGCACCATACCGTGATATTAAACAAATAAAATCCCTATTCAGAACTCTTGCAGAGCAGTGCATTTCGCAGCATTTCGAAATAAACCTCACGGAAGGTGATATCACAGAACTACTTCTGAAATACATGTAAGTGCACTCTTATTGATGCTGAGACCAACATCTGACCACACTTGAGAACCCGATTTAACCGAGATCTCAGTGATGCGGGCTGAGTACTCTGATCCCCTCAATCTCCTAGCCACCCCTGAACAGAAACAACACATTCCTGCGGAGGGAGCTGGTAGGAACGTTGGGTTGCTCGGTCAATGGCCAGGGTCAACGGCGGCGTGGTGTATTCCGCAAATATGCCCGACTGTGAGGGCGGGCACAAGCCAGCGTGAGTAGGTTAAACGTTGAGTTTTATAAGGGCACCACGGGGTGACCAGCCCCTCCCCACCCAGCCCCACCCCTCCCACCCCCCACCCAGCCCCACCCTCCTGACCCAGCCCCTCCCCACCCTCCCCACCCAGCCTCACCCTCCCGACCCAGCCCCTCCCCACCCTCCCCACCCAGCCCCTCCCCACCCTCCCCTCCCCACCCAGCCCCACCCTCCCCACCCTCCCCTCCCCACCCAATCCCTCCCTGCACGACGGATGGACGGACACAATAATCCCCTGTGGGCTGGTGTAACCAGGAGGTTCCTACCAGTATTACTTGATGTATTCACACTTGTTGTAATGCAGAAGCCCTGTCTGAAAAATTGCGTGTGCTCGCTAGTCACATCTTCGTGATGAGCTGCTGTTTTGTAATTATCACTTACGGCCTGTTATATGGAGCATTCTCAAATTGCACTAAAATATATTCCATAAGCACGTACGTGAACAACTAAAGTTAACTTTTATAATTGGTCTCAAATTGCCCGCTGCAAGCAGAGTTTTTCCGCAAAGTTTCTCGTTTGTTTCCCGATTGGCATCGTTCGCTGGTGGCTGTTGCGTAACCATTCGCCGACGCGTACAGGAAAGCTTTCCAACGTGTATTTGCGTCGGGCCTTTGCACAATTCTGAATTTAGTAGCAGCCTCCTTGCTCCGACGGCCAGTTATCACCGTCGTGCGTCGATTAGTAACAGTCGAGTGTGAAGTGAAGTGTTTCTCATCGCATGTGATCACTTAACTGGACGTGGTAATTATGGTAGCTGCAAGGCTCGTACCCCCAGGATGCTTATATAAGCACAAACGCAAAACTAAAGTCACGCTTCTTTCCATTCGTGCGGTGATTTTGTGGTTGTCTGACCGATGATAGTTTTTAGCACCTGCATCTCGTTTGTATCTCCCCACTTCCTCAACGTGTCTTTTGTGGTTTCCCAAAAAAAAATCGACGAGAAAAGAAATTGAGAGAACATAACACAGAAAATTATTAAAAGGCATCGTAGCGAGCGACGGGGGCATGGAAGAAGCAAAAAATAGGCTGATGAATGGTGACTCATAAATTGGGAGAAAGATGGAACCATACCTCGTGGTAAAGATACAATCGTAACATTAGTTGAAGGATCTTATGCAGATGCTCTATCATTGAAATATCATATATCCAAGGTATCAGACCGTTCTCCCATATAAAGAGGTGTGGGTTCCAGACGACCGCTGTCGAAAGTGGACCTAGATTAAAATCACGATGCTTTTGGAAAGCTGAAGATAATCATGAAAAGCAACATGGCAGTTTTTTCCAAGAGGAAAGTTTTAAATCGGTGCATATTATTTGCTGCGACACGTGGATCAGAAAGATGGACACCGATTAAGAGGATGGAACAAAGGATCCAAGGTGCACAGAGAAGTGTGGAGGGAGATGTGTGCGTTAGGATTACGCTGAGATGGAAGGGGGAACACGCGGAGTAAGGAACGTGAGCAGGTGAAACAAAAGGGGGCCAGGTGAGGACATGTTCGGTACAAGGGGACGACGCTAGGTGAGTGAGACTCACTATTGAGAACTCGACCAAAGAAGGGCATTCATCCAAGAGGACCTCCACCTTTGAGATGGAGCATTCAGATCGACTTGTGTGCAGGTTCCGGGTGGACTCGTTACGTCGTGACGCTGTGAAGGCTGACGACGACTTTATCAAAGTCTTTATTTTGACTGGAAGAATCCGATGAGCTGTGAAGCTCTTGTTCACATATGTTTCGGTAGGGGGGCAGGTCGGAAAGTTACAACAACAAACAATTCAAAAACAAACACGAGTGCAGAGTAAGCAAATCGCTAAATACAAATAAATTTAATATATAATTACTAAAAATTTTTTCAAGCTTTAGTGACTGCAGGGATTCATATTCTTGGTTATTTCGGTAAAGTCACGTAGAAGGGAAATAATAATATTTTTTTATTGTTTCATATTTATATTATTATTTTATTATTTCCCTTCTACGTGACTTTACGGAAAGAACCCAGAATATATAAATACTAATTGCAAGTGCATCAAATATCTTCCTTAATCCAGCAGTGGATATATAACAGCAGACAACTGATAATTGAGCCACATATATGGTGCAATGTGCTGTCCTCTAAATATGCAGCCTATAGAGACATATTATAGTTAATTGGTTTAAGAAATTACAGTTATAATTAATACTTTCTCATTATCCATTATTAATAGATGTTTTTAGAGGTTTTTTGATGATCGGTGGAGAGCACCTCTGATATGGGATTTAAATATGGGATTTGGATAATCACACCGAACTGTGTGGCCACGTTCAGTAATGACATTGGTGAACCGCTGCTGAAAGAGAGAGAGAGATGTGGGACTCATTAAGCACTTTAGCAGATGGGGCATTGTCACCCATTCAGCTGGGAACAATACCTGGGACACTTGATCCACTGCTATGAAGTCAAAATGATTTCTCGCTCGTTGAGGCAGTGGTCATCTCCTGGTTACCACCCCGAGCTAGTGGGAGACATTCCACATTCCTATGGTGGGGGTGAGTCTATCTACAGGACAACCATTGCTGACTTGCAGACAAAGTAGTAGCGATTTTCTTCACCCTGTAATGATGATGGGCTAAGTCAACCCTCAACCGGGATTTTGATTTTGAACAATACAAAGATCCCCCGTATAGCCTGAACAGACTTTCGGGGCAATGCCGTTTGCGAGCAACTATAAACGCCGGTACGGCACACGAGAGGGTGGGTGGCCAGCACGACGCCCGACCGCCTTTGTCTCCCTAGTGGCAATGTTTACACACCGCACGAGGTACTCATTTGAGCAACACATCAACACACACAAACGTAAAAGTCCAATTGATATGACTATTGGCGACTGTGCCATATCATGCTAATGTTTGTTCTTTAACCTAAATAGTTTTACTCTTGTGTCTCTGAATTAGTTATGGCTTTGCATCTAGATCCCAGGAATGGAAACTTCAGTATATAATGACTCTCGGTGTAACTGCAGGCACCTATAACAGAGGATGAATCTCAGTGTGCTCCCACCTGGCAAATAATCAGAAAAAGACCAAGTTTTTTTTTATTGTACCAGGTAAGGCCACTGAGCTATATAGCTCAACAAAGTGGCTTATCATGTGGAAATGTATAGCAGCCAAATACTCTAAATGCATGTTTCTAACAAACGATCAGCTACGGCACCATTTGTTTCAAGTATTTTAAATAATGTACACAGTGGTTAAATTTCGATTTAAAGCTTTCGTGACTGCAGGGATTCATATTCTTGCTTCTTTCGGTAAAGTCACGACTTTACCGAAATAACCAAGAATATACAGTGGTTGTTTGGGTTAGAGATGTCCTGTCACATTACAGAAGTAGTTAATAAAAAAAACACACCCATCCCACAGTGAATTCATGAAATGTAATCATATGGGTTATGATTAAATTCAAATACAAGTTTTATGTTTTTCATGTTTTTGTTACCTTCCCCCCCCCCCCAATTATGTCCCGAATGTGCTATCGGCATTGTCATTAAAAATAAAATAATTGTATATATATTTTTAAATAAAATAATTGTATTAATCTTCAGATCTCTCTCACGGAAGTCCAACCCTTCATGTTAGAGCATGGCGCGTGAGAGCAGATATCAAAAACTATCTCTGAGATCTCGTCGCCTACATGTGATCTATTCACATCATTTTCACATAATTTTAGTAAATAATTTATTGATGCATGTATTGTGAGCTAAATTAACTATTTTAATTGATGAATTAAAGCGTTATTACGTGTCTACTATGATATAAATACTCTATCTTCACTGCCGAAACTTATACGACACTGCTACGCACGTAAGCGGAAACCAAACATAAAATAGGAAGGGGGAAAATGTCGCAAATATCAGCGAGGACCTGTACTCACAAAGGGGTTTAGTTGACCAGCTGTGTCCACATTCCTGAATGGTGTGGAATTATTGTACAAAGTGGCACAAATTCATAGGAGGAGAATTGCAGCTGTAATGATTTAACGTAACATAATGTATGAAAAGCAAAAGGAAATTGCTTCATGACTTTTCATCAGTCTATATTGTTT